CCCTGTCAAGGGCTCATGCCCTGCAAGGAAAGAGGCGTCACGTGACCATGAGCACAGCAAATGGGGTGTCAGGCAGCATGTACTGCAGAGACCCAAGCTGAGGACAGCAAGTTGGGTTTTTAGATAGGGCCTCAGGAGAAGGAGGGAGCCCTTCCTGATCAGTGACAGCAGAGCAGAGTGCTGAACGAAGCAAGGAGCCAGCCCCACAGGAGGCCAGAGAAGAAGCTGTGGGCCCAGGGAACTGCAGGGGGAAGGCTTAGGCAGGGGCACTTTAGGACGGTGGTTCTCAAGCTTATTTTATTTAATCTCAGGACCCTTTTCATGCACATGTTATTGGAGACCCAAAAGAGTTCACGTAGGTTTATCTCTTGATGTTTGTATGATAGAAATAAAAACAAGAAAAATTAAATACTCATTAATTTAGAAACAAAACATAGCTTGGTGACATGGCACATGACTATAATTCCAGCACTCTGTGCTGGAATTCAGTCTGTGATGGAGGCTGAATTCAAGCCTGGAACACAGTAAAACCCTGTCTCAAAAACAGATTTTTTAAAATTTAAAACAATGCCTGTGCACACTGCTGAGAGAATGAGAGGGGAAAAGGGAAATGGATTTGTGATATTAGTATGCAAAGAGCTTTGGCCTCATAGATCTCCTAAACCATCTCAAGGACCCCACATAATCCCCCAGGGTCTGCTCCCCAGCCCACTCCTTGGGGCTCCTTGCTAGGTATTTGCCTTCTCCTGAGGCTACATTCAGGTGTATTTATAGACTCCAAATTAATAGTGGATTAGTCAGGATGCTTTCTTTCTCTAAAAAAAAGTCAATCCATAATACAACTTTTAGGAAGTTGTTGGAGCTCAGGCTATATCTGGCTTGTTGTCCCTAAGGCTTTCCTGCCAAAGTCTAAGTACAGCTCAGTACACAGCTTACATGCCAACCATTCCTGGGAGAAAAGGAGATGAAGAGGGTACCTCTCTGCCCTTTAGAGGGAAGACCTGGATGCTGCACACATTACATTTCTTCACATCCCAGTATCCAGAATTTAGTTACATGGACCCTCCTAGATGCAAAGGAGTCTATATCCATAATCAGAGGCTCAAGCGTCTGGGCAGAAATCAAGCCAGAATGGTGGCTTGTCCTAACCAAATTATCTCCAAAGCCACCCACAAGTCCCTGCCAAGTTTTCTTCTGTCTTCTCTCCACTGTAGTCCCCTCCCTTACCCACTCTCCCCAACTGTATTAGTCAGGGTTTTACTAGAGAAAACAGATATAACACAAAATATACAATTGCTTAAGAAATTATAAGACTGGCTTATGATAGCCATCTACGGAGTCAGATGTGGAAACATGCAGAGGGGCTCTGCAAGCCTGAGGCTGAAGGATTCAATCCAAAGTGGGGTTCACTGCAGTGTCCTTGCAAGTCCACACCAACAAGCCAACGAGTCTGTGATGGAAGGCTGAAGAATCTATGCCAGAAGTCTGAAGGATGCAAGGCAGAAGCCGAAGAGTTTGCACTAGAAGCCAGGAGACAAAGTCCAAGCCAAAAGCAAAGAATGAAGCTCCTCCAAAGAATGAACCTCATCTGTCCTTCCCTCTTTTTATGCTATCCAGGAGGTGAGCCACCCTGGGATGCGTCTTCTACACCTTATGGTGTAGACTTGCTAAGCTGATTTAGTTAAGCTTGTAAATGTCTCAAATTGACACAATCAATCAATCAACCAACCAACCACAAACCAGCCTCCCTAGTTTTCCTTCTGCTCCTTCAGTGACTCACCCAAGCTCTTTGTTCATCCTGTTTCTGCCTCTTCAAGCACACTTCACCCAGACGCCTCTGGGCTGCTCTTCTCTTCCTCAGCTCTCAACTTGACCATCTGATCTCAAGTATCCTACAACTTGTTCTTTTTAACATTTTGTTCTTCATTTCATTTTGTAATCATTATGCATTAGCTTATTCATATGTTTTTGTCTTATTTTTTAAAGATAATCATAGATGGAACCTTTTCACATGCTCCCTGTGGAACAATTAGAGCACAAGACATTGGAAGTAATTAATAAATAGATATTGAATGAAAAAAACACCACCATTCTTACTCCCTTTATCTTCCTGAAAAATTTAGATCTCTCTAATAGTGAAATATACCTATGATGAAAAAAAATGCAGATCCATGAAACATACTACTAATAAGCAATCTGCCTATCTGTACACCTCTCGGTCACAGGTGCTCTGAGATCCCACACCTCCAACCATACACACACACCCTGGGATGGGAGTCCTGGGCCATCAAGGACTTCATCTGTTGTCCATGGACTGCTTCATCTCAGCCAGCGCAGAGGATCCCTCCGGAGCCAGGCTATAGGCCTAGAGACTGGGTTCTGTCGTTCTCAGACCACTGATTTCTAGATGCATGAAACCCTAACAGTAAATTTCCTGCCTAAGACAACCAGTCAGTTTCTGTTGCAACCCAGGAACCTGGCAGAGATGGCAAAGCACCTACCCTGTGCCAGGCACTGTTCTAAGAATTTTACTTAATATGTTGGGCATGGTGGCACACACTTGTAATCTCAGCACTTAGGAGGTTGAGGAAGGAGGATCACTGTGAGTTTGAGACCAACCTGGGCTACATAGTGAGTTCAAAGTCAGCCCAGACTACATAGTGAGACCCTGTCTCAAAAAAATATACAAAAAGCAATTTCACTTAAGCCTCATAGTACTTTATAGGAGTCATAACTGACCCCATTCACAGATGAGAAGACTGGAGTTTTGAGAGGTTGATTAGTTTGGCCAGGGTCACACAGCTGGCAGGGTCAGAATTCAAGCCCACATCACAGAAATTCCTTTCTACTCACACTAAATATCTGATAGGCACTGCATCATTTATGATCATTATTAGCCCTGTTATACAACTCAGAAATCAAAGCTAGGAGAAGTCACAGAGTGAAAGGAGCCAAGATTCACCTGGATTCTGGGAGGAGGAACTCAGAACCTGAACTGATGAGGTCACAATGTGGCCTTCCCAACACAGGGCCAGCCAGGGCCCCTAGCTCTGAGGCAGAGCAGAGGTGGTAGCATGGGCTGTGGGCCCTAAGGTGACCAGCTCTGCCATGGGAAACAGCAGTTCTCACAAGAGGACCAATGCACCCAAGCAGCCCCCCAAGGAGAGGCCACCAGACATGGACAAGGCCCAGGGGCAGCAGTTCTTCAGCCACGTTAAGCAGAAGAAGCTGAATGTGCGTGTGGAGTGGGAATGAGGGACTAGCAGGGGGTCAGCTGCCCTGGACAGGAGGTCAGGTAGGGGTGCTGGGAGTCTAGAAGTTCTGCAGACAGGAGAAGGGTTAGAGGATTCTCCTTGAGGATGAGGGTCCCAAGAGCCCACATGGGTCTGGGCCTGGGTCTGGGTACTAAAGCACAGAAGGGAGGGCAGGGATCCCAGAGATCAGAGGTGCAGGAGATCAGGGTTGGGTGGCAGGAGGAGAGGCAGGAGAAAGGCAATTCTCAGCAGAGGCTGTGCTTGGAGACCAGGCATGGGGAAGCAGCTTTCCTTGATAGCAGCGAGCTATGGACACAGATTAGGCTCCCTGACCTCAAGCAGGGAAGGCTGGGTATTCCTAGGGCCCGAGGAGACAATGGGAGGCCTTTTGGCAGGCCAAGCACAACGCAAGGCATAGTTGTGAGGACCACGAGGGTCCCTGGAGGGAAGGTGGGGAGGTCCTAGGTCCTGGCTCGGGCTCAAAGCGCGCTCTTCCCCTCATGTCCTGCCCACGTCCAGGCCAAGATCGTGCTGCTTTTCCCTGTGGACAAGTGGCAACAGCGGACTGAGGTGGCGGGTCTGGGTGTGTGGGCCCAGAGGCCCTATGAGGACGTGACTGGTGTCCAGGCTGGCATCCCAGCATCTCGTATGCTTCAAGGAGCCGGAGACGCCCGGGATCAGCGCGAGCAGGCGCACAGGTACAAGCTGAGGGCCCAGGTCCTGCTCCTGAGGCTGAACTCCAGACTGCAGGATGAAGCCTATCGCGCCGCGGGCGGGGCCAGACCTGGGGGCGGAGCCTCAGACCACAGGGCGGGGCCAAAGCCCGAGCAGGACCAACAGCAACGGTTCTCCAACCTGCTGAACCGGAGTGAGGCGGACACCGAGTGTGCTCATGGCAAGCTATGGCAGCGGCAGCGGCGCTGCATTTGCTCAAGGCCCTGAGCACCCGCCCGGGTCCAGGCCTAATAAAGAGCGCATAAAAACCCTGGCGTCTGTTAGCTCTGTTTGGGTCACTGAGGTGCAAGCAAAGTTGAGGTCCAGCCAATGAAGGGTTAAATAAGGCAGCCGACTGGCAGAACAGTGATCTGAAGACAGAGCTGACTTTGGCTTCTCTTTCTTTCTCTCTTTCTTTCTTTCTTTTTTCTTTCTTTCTTTCTGTCTGTCTGTCTGTCTTTTTTTGAGACAGGGTCTCTCTATACAGTTCAGGCTGGCCTTGAGCTCACTTTGTAGCCTAGGCTGGTCTCGAACTCGCAATGATCTTCCTGCCCCAGCCTCCCGAGTGCTAGGATTACAGGCATGAGCCACCTGGCTGGCTTCTCTTTTCTGTGACACAATGTCAGAATCAGAACCTGTGTCCCTAACACTCCGAGCCGGGATCAGCCCCTAACTGGCCCAAGAGAGATGAGCTTGAATAAACCTAGGATTGTCAATAGAAGAGAGACCCATTTCTAGCAAAATTCTGACATGTCCCAGAGGACGCAGCATTCAGACATCACTTTTAGGCGGGACCAGAAGGGAGAGGTAGCCCACACTCAGATTTTTTAAGCACTCAGCCCTCCTAGACTTCAAGACACCTTGGTCAAATTCAGCATCTGTCTCCCATCATCCTACCTTGTCCCATCCCCTTCTCATTTAGCCAAAGCCTTCTTCCAAATCCCTTATCTGTCCAGAGAAGTTCACTTTCCTATTCATAAGTCTGACTGGTTCTCCACTACTCTCAGGGAAAAGTTAAAATGTATTATTGAGATGCAGGCCCAGCTCCCAGGCTCCGTCTTCTCCAGTTAGTGCCTTGGTGGTTGCCCCCTCAAGCACCCTCTGGCCATACTGGCACATGGGGTCTCTAGTGTGAGGTTCACTCCCTACATTATTCATGAGAAGGCTTCTAGCACACATTGGGCAGGAGGAGCCTGTGTCCCAAATCCTGCTCCAAATCCTAAAGCCACCTCAGCCCTGCCAAAGTGGCAGCCTGCCTTGCTGAGGCAGATGTAGCAGAATGAAAGCCCCAGTTTACTGGAACCACAGGTCCAGCTTCTGTTGAAAATACTTTTTTTCTTGAGACACGGTCTCACTATGTGGCCAAGCTGGCCTCAGAACTCACAGCGACCATCCTGCCTCAGCCTCTGAAGTACTGGGATTACAAGCATATGCCACCATGCCTGGCTAAAATACATTTTTTTCACTCAACACATCTCTTCCTTCACAAGGACTGCCATCAGGCTGGCTGGAGCATAAGCTATGGCCGATTGCAAGCTGGTGGGCAGCGTGGGACACACATTCCATCATGCATGGCATAGTGGTGGACTGGGAAATGCTGGAGGGGCTGTAGGAGTGGCTGCTGGTGGGGGTCCTGAGGCAGTGACCTGGAGCAGTGACCTGTGCTGGTGAGTGACTCGCGCTGTCTGTGCCGCCCAAGGCCTGTAAGAAAGAGGTGGCGCTGTTTGAGGCCTTGGCAGTGCCCACGTGCCAAGTGGCCAGCACAGCACTGCTGGTGCTCTGCTCTGCCGGTGTGCTCAGCTGGTTGGTGGTGGAGGCGGGCACAGGCATGTGCTACACCACACCTGTCTACACGGGGCATTCGTGGCTCAAGGCCACCTTCTGGCTGGATGTGGCAGGCAGACCCTGTCATGCTACTGGCAAGAGCTGGTGGCTGCATGTCCTGACCTTTGACTGCAGGGCCTGCCGCGCAAGACCATCACACAGCTCAAGAAGCACTGCTGCTACCTGTCGCTGGACTTCAAGGGTGATCTTTGTGACCCTGCCCGACACCATCTGTCCAGTTTCTGAATGGGCAATGGGAGCTCTGTGTGCCTTGGCAGTGAGTGCTTCTGCTGCCTGGAACCCATCTTCCAGCCGTGTCTGCTAGGCCAGGCTGAGCTGGGGCTGCCCACGCTGGCCTTCTGGGCACTGCAGAAGATGCCCACGACGCTATGGAAACAGCTGACCGACACTGTGGTCCTGGCACAGTGGTCAGCACTGTGTGCTGAGCTGGAGGCGCGGTGCTGCCAGCACGGCTACCCGGCCCTAAGACCCCATCTGGTGGCCAAGTCTGGGCGCGGCATGGCTGTGTGGACTGGAGGCTCCATGGTGGCCTCCTTGCACTCTTTCCAACGCGGCTGGATGACTTGGGCCATCTACCAGGAGTGTGGTTCCAGGCTGGTGCACGAAGTGTTCAACTGACTGGGGGAAGGGGATGTGGTGCCACCAGGGGACACTACAGGGACAGAGCTCCAAGCTGAGTTGCAGTTCTTCAGAGCAAGAGCACCAGATAAAAGAATCTCAGAGTCTGGAGTCCTCAAGTGTGGATGGGCCACCCCGCACCCTGGTCCCTTTCTGAGCTAGGACAGGTGGTCTCAGTGTAGGGCCCACATTTTGACTAGCAGTTACAAATCCCCCCAACCACTGCCAGTTTAGAAAGTGCCAGTCCAAATGGCACCCTTAAGACCAGGCCCCTAACAGTGCTCCACCACCCAACTACATTTTTTTTTTTTTGCAATACGAGGGATTGTCCTGAGCTACATCCCAGCCCTTTTTTATTTTTATTTTTTTGGTAGCAGGAATTAAACTCACAATCTTGTACTTGCCAGGCAGGCACTGTGTCACTGAGCTATATCCCTGGCCCTGCCCTCTTTTGTTTTTTGAGACAAGTTCTCACTAAGTTACCTAGGTAGGGCTGGGACTTCACATTCTTTCCTTAGCCTCCTAGAGTGCTGGCATTACAGGTGTGCCACCATGCCCAGCTTTTACTTTTTATTTTGAGACAGGTCTTGCTAAATTGTTCCAAGCTGGTCTTGAAATTGTAGGCCATCCCTCTCAGGCTCCCAAGCAGCTAGGTTAAACAGGCATGAGCAAGCTTGGGGCAGCTACTAAATTATATGTGAAAGCAACTAGGTGAAATCTAGCTCACTGTGTGCTAAGGAGGTCTTTGGCTCTGAGGGTGATTTCTTTTCTTTATAAAGCTGGGTCAAGGCACTATCCTGGGCCTTCTCCCTGCTCCCTCCCCATAATCTCAGAGCTTGAGAGGCTGAAGCAAGAGGATCATCTCAAGTTTGAAGCCAGTCTGGACTACACAGGGAAACCCTGTCTCAGAAAACCAAATTACAAAATTACCACTGGAAGGGAGGTATGGCTTACTTTTCTGAAATCACCACGCAAGGCCTGGCTGTTGGTACTGTCTACACTTGCACAATCTCAGGTCTCCACACATCACACAAGCTCCTGGCTGCACACACACACCTGACATTCCCTTCTATCTTCAAGGGAAGCCCCAACCATAGGCCCCTCAAACTAGTACACACCAGCATGGGAACCTGTGTCAGCACAACTGCTGTCCCAGGGCTCCCTGCTGGGGTACTGGCCAATACCAAGAACAAAAACGGCAGTGCTGTCCCAGGCATTGTTCTGGGTGCTGTGAACAGAGAGAGACCAACATAGACAAAAATCTCTGCCTTTACTTTCATTTAATTGTGACAAAAAAAGGTAAGAGGTAGACTCATTATCCCTGGTTTACAGATGAGGAAACTGAGGCCCAGAGAGGGGCAGAACTACAAAGTGGAGCTATTGACATCTGAACCCTGGCCTCTAACTCCACACCCCTGCGTGACAGGTGTGAGTCTTCCCGCACAGCCCCACTACTCACCAGCTTGGTGGTGTCCGTGGCAGAGAGCACAGCTTGGTTTAGCACTTCCAGTGTAGATTAGTAGAAACCCAGGTGCTTTGAAAAGTAGTCTGTGGGCAGAAGCAGCACTCACAGACGTGGCCCCACCACCTCCATAACCTGCATGCTGCCCACCTCTGATTCCATAACCACCAAGCAGATCTCTCATGCTGAGCTGGCCCATCCTGTCCTATCAGAAAGCCAGGCCCTTTACCACATCCACCTGCCCAGGGTTCCCAGACACCAGGGCTCCTGGGCATACTCACCACACAGTCTCTCCATTTCTAAATTGCTGTGGGGAAAGAAAAGGCACCTTTCTGAGCCTGAAATTTGGGCATTCACCAATAATAAATTTGTCCTGGCTAAAACACCTGGCACCAGCTTCTGCATGGACATCAACTATCATCCCATCAACCCTCCTAAACCCCAATATGGCACCCCCTTTTAGAAGGATGTAGTAAGAGAGAGACTTCACCCCTTTCCTAACAATAAAAAGGAATGAAAGATTTTGCCCTAAAATAAGTTACAGCCGCCAGAGAGCAGTGGTGTGAAAAAGGGTCCCAGTCGGTTGCTTATACGTCATCAATGACTGCCTTAAGTGCAACCCGGTCAGAGATTATATGTATATCCCATACCCCACATTCCGATCAGAAGAGGCCTGGACCATCTATGGTCACTGGACTCTTCTCCACATCCTTGGAATAAGGGCCAGTGTTACTTTGTATTTTTTTTTCTCTCTTTCCTCACCCTGAAAACCCTATCAGCATCTAGATCCATCCATGTAAAGGTGAAAAGGTTTTGGCATTGTGGACATAAAGGAAGTGAGAACGTATTTTTAAGTCTAATGCAGGAAAGTGAGAGGTCTGTGGAGGAATATGAGACAGTGTAGTGTAAGGGTTTGACATCACTGCGTGAACTGGCATTATTGTACTGATAATAGCTTTGGGATTTTGGATTAGATGATGGGAGCTGTTGGATTTAAGGACAGGGAGAATAGGGGTGCCATGAGGTGAGTGAGTGACTTTTAGAAACCCATTAGTTAACAAGCAGCAGATAAGAGGTTTGTGTCCCTGTTGATGTTTAGGGGTTACTGGATGTTGGAGAACAAAAGGAAAGACGGAGGGGTGTTTGAGGTGGATCAGCAACAGAGTAATGTGGGTGGCATGAGTGGGATTGGAGGTGTCTCAGACTGTAGGGCCAATGAGGCAGGAGGGGAGGGGAGGGCCTGAGTCACTGGTATATGATGTTGGGATTGGAGCGTGAGAGCCATGGGGAGGGAGGGAGTATGAGAGAAATTGAGTTTTTTGGAGTAGAATTTTTATCAAAAAGAGGTACAGGACAGGTTGGAATAATAAGACAGCTGTGAGGAGACTCGAAAAAGATGGTGGATAGATAACAGCAGGCTACAGAGGCTCCCTGAGATAGTCAACTTAGATTCCAAAAATAATACAGCATGGGGAGTCCCGAACAGGGGGAGATAAACCCTCCAGACCCAGGAACAAGCTAAGCTGAAAGAAATCAATTAAAAATACAGTCCCAGTGCTACTATTGGAACAGCTACAGTCTCGGTACTGCCGCTTGAACTCGCTGCTTGATCTTGCTGCCACTACTGTGCTTGAACCCATGCATCGGAAACTTACCAAGCTACCTGAAAGCCTGCCACTGGAATGCGTCTCACTGGAGATGTATTCGCACTAAGGATGGTAATTGGTGAACCAAACTGAAAGCCGAGCTGGTGGGGAACCCTGCATCGACCTGCGGTGAGTGACCGGAATAAAAACCCTTCCATAGACAAAGAGGTGCCAACAGATGACATTCTGGGACTGGGAAGACTGGCCAGAATAAGGGGCTGCAGTGACTTCAGTCAGCTGCTCCCTCCTCAAGCGGGATTGGTGGGGAGCACTTGACCTGGGTCATGCCCTGGACTGATACCCAATAGGCTAGCCCAAACCAAGTCCCTACACCTGGCAGTGCACCCTACTGCAGTGAAGCCTTCAGTAGGTTGACTAACTGCTGGGCGGGACCTGCATAGGCTGACGCAGTCTGTATCTCCATAGTACACTGCAGTGGGCGGAAGCACCTAGTCAGAGCACTTCAGACAAACTGTAACCAACAAAGAAAGAAACTGAGCCTCCTATATACACCTGTATGGAAGGAACAAAAAATATGAGAAGAGGAAGCAACAAGAAAGGGTCTCTAATCCCCAATCCTGAGAACACTGGTCCAGGAAAGGTAAATGCAAAGGAGAATGAGGACATCAAACATGCAATATCAGACACAGCACCATAGACGAGTTCAAAAGTGAAGTATTTAACCAAGTAAAGCAAGATATAAATAGAATAATTAAAGAAGTGCTAAGCACATCTCAAGAAAAAACAAATGGAAGAAGGGAAGAACACAAAGGAGAGAATTGTTTGATGAAGAAAATAGAGAAAACATAGAATACACGAATCAGGTTCAAAGAGATTACCTGTAAATTAAAAACTCCATTGAAAGCTGACAAAACTGCTTGAAAGAATCTAAGGACAGATTATCCAAACTAGAGGACAGGCTTGCAATGTGGGATCATGAAAGGAAAAATTTCTTAAAAGTAACAAAGAAACAAGCAGTAACAATACAAAGACTAGAAGATGACAAGAGGATCTATAACTTAAGAATAAAGAATGTGAATAAAGAAGCAGGGGTACAAACAAAGGAACTACAAAGGCTATTCACAGAAACAATTAAGGAAAACTTCCCAAACATAGGAAAAAGAAATGATACTCAGATGTATGAGGTATACAGAACTCCAGCCACCTACAGCTGAAACAGAGATACACCCAGGCATATAATAATCAAGATCCCAGAAATCCAATATAAGAACCGAATACTAAAAGCTGTCAGAGACAAGAAACAGATTACTTACAAGGGAAAGCCCATCAGAATTATGGCAGAATTATGGCACAAACCATCAAATTAAGAAGAGAGTGGAGCAAGTATTCCAAGTTCTGAAAGAAAACAACCTCCAGCCCAGATTGATGCACCCTGTAAAAATGTCCCTGGAAATTAATGGAGAAACAGGATGCTTCCAAGATAAATAGGAACTGGGGGAATTCGCAATCACCAATCCAACCCTACAGAGAGTATTACGGGACATTCTACAGAGAGAGAAAAACACCAGGATTTCAGGAACAGTGGCAGGGAGGCCCCAATGAATGGAGCAAAAAGCAAAATGAAGAAGACAGACAACTAATGACAGAAAAAGAGCACAACAGAAATGAGGCAGAGAAGCTTGGATATAATTTCTAATATAGATGGCTTAGATACACTAAATTAAGCGAAAAAGAGAATCACAGGCAGAGTGGATCAAGTCGTAGGATCCACCAAGATGTTCTTTATAGGAAATATAATTAATCTGAAGAAGGGTATATGGACTGAAAATCAAATATGAGAAAACATAGAATGTTTTCTATGTTTTAGGGAACCAGAGAGTAATAGGGGCAACTGGACCAGTATTTATGGATAGGTTGGAAAGACAGGCTTT